AATATTTTCTCATTAAATAACTTGTATCTATATCTGTTTCTCCTTCAATTTTTAAACTATATTTTCACATTAAATAATTTGCATCTATATCTGTTTCTCCTTCAATTTTTAATTGTATTTGTACATTAAATAATTTGTATCTATACCTGTCTCTCCTTCAATTTTTTTAGCTCATCTTCTTCTTTTTGCCTCTGCACACGTCGTTGTTCTAAATATTCCTGCCACATAGCTTCTTCTTCTTCTTTCTTCTTCCGCATTTTCTCCTAGAAAAAAAGTTAATCTATGTCCAGAAAACCCTGAAAGACCAAATTTGTACGTACTTTTGTTTGGACTTCAATCAATTTGACAAAAGTATCATAAAAGATTTTAACAAATCATAATTTAAAATTAAACTAATTTAGAAAAACAAATTCAAACAACTTTTAAAATACAGTTGCTTATACAAGAACATACGTTGTAAAACCAGAGAATTAACAAGCACAAACATATAAAATTGTTAATTAAAAAAAAATAGCTTCTTATCTACAAAGTTTTGGAAAAAAAATATTTTCAAATTTTTGAATTTCTTGAAACTACTGGAAACTTTCCTAACGGAAACTAAGGCTGATAACTAAACCTTAATTTATCTCTATGATTAAACTAGTATTTCTTGTTATATAATATGAAAAAAAAATTAATTATGTAATAGAAGTACTTTAGTAGAATCAACAATGTACAAATAGAGATATTTTAGAAAATAAACACAGATAGGAACGATCAAAAATGTAGTAGAGGTATAATGAAAAATAAAACGTAGACATGATGGTTTAATCAATATTACAGCAGATGTACTCTGTTACAGAGGTACACCATAATAATCAACAATGTAACAATGTTACGTTGGTCTAATCAACAATGTAACAGAGATACACTGGAATAATCAACAATGTAATAATGTTACGTTGGTCTAATCAACAATGTAACAGAGATACACTGGAATAATCAACAATGTAACAATGTTACGTTGGTATAATCAACAATGTAACAATGTTACGTTGGTCTAATCAACAATGTAACAGAGATACACTGGAATAATCAACAATGTAACAATGTTACGTTGGTATAATCAACAATGTAACAATGTTACGT